ACTGTTCTATTATTTTGCTATTATGTTACTATTATGTTACTCATATTGACAAACCTCCTGTTATTTTACTGTTATTTAGCTGTTATGCTGCTGTTATGCTGTCATTATTTGGTAGATATAGAGTAGAATAATGGCAGTTTTTTTTTTTGTTATTTACTTATTATTTACCTTTTATTCATTTGTTCAACCTGTAATTATTTATTATTAAAGCAATAAAGCTAATTACAAAAAATTTAGAATGCTTTTTCATAGTTAAATTATCATTGTAATAAGATTAACTTTTATGTAAGGTTGTAGTATATTTAGCTGTATTATTCAAAGATTTCATATTATTTTATATAGTTAAGATTAATAGTATTGAGAATTTTTATTATTTTGGTACTTTTTATTTTAAAATTAGTTTGGTATTATGCTTAATTTCATAATTTAAATTAGTTTAATTAATTTTACTAATATGCTTTTTATTAATTATTAGTAATATTATTAGAACTATGGTCTAGTTTTGTATTTGCATTAAACTATATTATTAGTATAACAATATTTCAGCTATGACTTTAAAGCATGATTAATTAGAATTAAATGCTGTTTCTTTAAATTTAATGAAAATCTATCAGTTTAGATAGCAAAGCATTTTAGCCTTGCTAATTAAGTTTATTATATCATAATAAAATTTTTAATCATATGAACAAGTCAATAGTTAAGCAGTCAAGCGAATTATAGTTCTTAATAACTAATTTTACTGATTTATTTTTTATATCAATTAATAAATAAAAAAGATAGAAAATACAGATAAGAGTCTAACCTTACTTAGTACTAATAAAAAATATCAAAGAGCAATTTTATTATCATATTTGCTAATTTTTTAATAAAAATTGACTGAAATTAATTTTGCTGAATTCAATAAGTTTTTAATCTTGATATATAAGCTTTTGATTTTAGTATATAAGTTTTTAATTTTTGTATATAAGCTTTTGATTTTGGTAAGTGCCAATAACACTGAAATTAAAAACTTATCAAATTCAATAGAATTAATTTCAGCCAAATTTTTATTACTTATCTCAGAATTTATGAAACAACTGTAAAAATCAAATCTGAATCAATCTGAATTTACTTAATTTGAATTATAACATAATTTATGAAAAAGATTCTGGATTCAATCTGAATAGTTCTAAAAAAATAACAATCTTTATGATCAATAAAATAGCCTAATAAGTAATGACTTTTGTAAATTTTGTATAAATTATTTAGTCTGTTAAGTAAATGCTTATATGATAATTTATCATAATTAACTTTAATAATACTAAGTGCTGGTATAACTTTATTTTTTTAAATATAAAGCATAAATTATACCCAGGTCTTTTTTGAAGAAGATATTTTAATAAGAAAGTACTATAGTTTGCACTATATTCAGGTACTATTCTATACTTACAAATCTGAACCTATGAAATATACCCAGATCTTTTTTATAGGAAGTATTTTAGCAGAAGGGTACTGCAATTAACACTATACAGTATATATTAGAACTAAATTATTATTTATTGCTATCTTCTCTTTTTGAGCTATTATTATATTATTGAATTTTATTTTATTTTTATTTTCTACAAATAAGTTATTAATTTTTTTTTTTATATTAAGTTTTTTTATTTTGAAAATTTTTTCTGTTATTAAAAGTTCTACTTGTTGAGAAGCTTTCTTTTCTTAAAACAAAGTTTTAATTCTTAATAATATCTAATTTTTAAAGTTTAGATTTCTGTTTAATAATTTTATAATTATGATTTTTTATTTATCTTTTTTAATTAATAATAAACAGAAAAGAATTTTTTATAATAATAACTTTTTATCAAAGAGGTTTTAAAAAAAAATTCACTTAGTAATTTTATAGAATTATATTAACTATATATCTATCAAATAGCTTTTAAATCTCATTCTGTAAAAAGTTGATGCATTTTAAAAATTGAAATTATATATATAAATTTATAAATATATATATAATTTAATTTTTAAAATATATTAACTCTTTACAGTGATAAGATTTTAAAAAGATATTTAACATATATATAAAGCTGATATAGCTTTATAAAGTTACTAGATAAATTTTTTTATAACCTCTTAGATAAAAGTTATAATTATTTAAAAATTTAAAACACTTTGTATAACTGTTAAGTATAAATTTTCAGCATCATATATAAAATTTTAATTTTTTAAAATAATATTTAACATACATATATATAGAGTTGATATAACTTTACAAAATTACTAATTAGATTTTTTTAAAACCTCTTAGATAAAAAGTTATAATTATTTAAAAAATTAAAACACTTAATGTAACTGTTAAGCATAAACTTTCAACATTATAGCCAAATTATTAAAAATTTTAGCTCAAATTAACTTTAAATATATATTAGGTTTTAGAAAATATATAACATACCCGGCAAGTACATACCCGAGTATATAAGAAAAAAAATACAACCTCTAAAAGTAATAAAATTAGGCTTAAAATGTATTTATATGTAAAATTAGTTGCCAAATATTTTTACTTAAGGTACGATTTTTTGATTTTTTCTTATATATATACTGAGTATATACCCACCAGGTACAAAATTTTCATATATATTCACTTCAGCCTGGTTTGAAGTTAAACCAAAATACTATACAACACTTAAATATGTGTTTCCGAAGATTTCGATATACAAAAAAAAAAGCCCCAGACTAGCTTGAATAGTACCTGGATATTGTGTAAGAAAAAAGAAAGGTACTATACAAGGAGAAAATGCCATATGTCGTGTATATCGCAATATATTTTATTTATAAGGGTACTGTGGGTTAAATTATACTGATCCACTAATTTCTGTGGTGTTCTGCGGTGACATGAACTTCTGTGATATAGACCTATCACTATTTCTGTAAATTCTGTGATCTTCTATTTAAGTATCCGAACCTATATATATCGAAATCATGACGTAGGTGTAAGTTAATTATCCTTTACAAGTATTCAACAAACCACGGACTTCATGCAAAATACCAAGAACAAGGGTTTAACGCACAAACTACTAATTTCTCAATGTCGGTTCTGAATGATCCAGAGTATGTAAACAAAAAGGCCTCATATTTCCACGGTTACATGATTTTATTTTCTTGGTTATATTAACAAAATGTGATTCGAATTACTATAAAGATATATTATTCACCAACTACGTATAGGTTATCTTCGTCGTGTAGGAGACCGAATCGGAGAGCGAGTTATTAGTTTCAATCCAAGTGTTCTTACAAATGACTACATTAAAACTGCTGCATCTTCGTATCCGGAGATGATAACTTGTCATTCACCGAACATTTGCATGCCAGGAAACGACTATTTTAGCATTAAAAGCGTAATAAGTAGTGCAGCTTGTTCGCCCTCATCAGGTAATGGGAGACTAAAAACTATCACTTCTTCAAATGGAAGTAGAGATGCAATATCAACACATGGTGGTAGAGAAAAGTCAAGTATAAATAATGCAGACAATGGTGACAGTGACTATGATATCGAACTTGATGGTGATGCAAATGCGTATGTTAATTTAATGCTGTTTTTAATAAATTGGATGTTTTGTGCGAGTTATTTTATTTTAATTTTATGAATAATTGTATTATAATTTATCACAGAAAACAGCCTTCATTTGCCAAGCTTCATTTACCAAAGCAAACTGTGCCTCCCCCACCTGTATTTGTGACATCCCCTTCGAAACCACCTACTCGCCGGAATCTGGTTCATTCCTATTCACCGGAAGATGCACTGAAAACATCACCAGATATTATACTTGAAATGTCATCAACCGAACAGACACCACAACTATCGCCAACTACTTCAGCAGAAAGTTATAGAGTATTGAATGAGAGAAGAGATTCAGAGACATCTCTACTAACAGCAGATTTGACAGAAATACCGCCGAGTCCACCATCAAGGCCAGCATTAACAGAACTTGAAGAGAAGGATCTTTTTCCTGATCCGCCAAAGACAGGTCCAAAACCTAAGCCCTTTTCAGCGTTGACAGCTTTGATTGCAGAGAAAAAAAACAAATTGGACAATCCATTTGCTGAATACTACAGCTCTTTTGCTGGAAAAGGGGATCTTAACCCGATAACACTGAGAATTTACCTTCCGTTTAGTAAAGAACCTTCACGGCCATTAACTATAATTGTAAAAAGAGATGCCAATGTTGAGGAAGTTATAGGATATATATTATATCAATACTGGGATGAAAAGAGGGAACCTTTATTAGAGAAAAGACTATGTAATGTTTATCATTGGAATATAAGAATGGTAGAAGATGATGGTGAAATTGATGAAGATTTTCCTGGTAAATGACGAAACTCTATCTAATTTAATTAGATTTAACTCTGCTTAGGTTCTCGTACTAATGGGGTTTTTTTTTGAAATTTACAAAGCTCTCGAAAGAACGCAGAAAATAGTAAAATTCTCATTTGAACAATTTGCATTATGCGAGGCGACTTCAGCTCAAGGTTAATTAGATTGTTTATTATTATTATTCTTTTAATATTTTTTAATTTTAACTATTAAAATATCGGCATGCAGTCAAACAAAATGAGGCGGCTTCGAACAAATTGAGGGCATCCACCTATAAAGAAACTACAGCTACACCTATCAAGGAAAATGGGACCACTGAAACAACACTTGAAAATGGCGGCATTATGAATACTACCACACCAAAAGGGGGTACGGTTGATCTCACCAACCAGATATTTTTGCGTGTTCGAGTCACTCTTAATCCAAGTGAAGAAGTTGCACACACAACCACAGTGACTGCTCAGGCTAACGCACCCTTTCAGAACGTTTTGGAATCTGTTTGTCGTAAATGCAAATTGGACAGCAATAAGTACACATTAAAAATTGCAGATACAGAAAAATACATAAATATGGAAAAGTCAGTTGAAAGCATTGGAAATTCCAAGGAGCTTGCACTTGTAGAGAAACCCACTAATGGAACGTCAACTTCTTCTGAAGTACCGCCACCAAGTCCAACAGGTAGATCATTGAAAAATTTATATAAATAAGGAAAGCAACTATTGCTTATATTATCATAATTTTTAGCGATTAAGGATCGAAATCTTGTTAGAAGAAGAACACTTAACGATCCGCCTCAGCCTCTATATTTTTCTTCAAATGAATTCATGTCAGTGTACAAGGTACAAAATTTGCTTTTATGATTTTATACGCAATACATTATATTTTCTTCTAACTTAAACAATTACTCTAGAAATACACAGTCAATCGTAAGATACCAATGTTCGTTGGACGCCACGAGCGTGTATTAGCAATTGATGGTGATTATATTCATATAATGCCATCGGAAACAAGAACAATGTTTGAATCAGTGAAAACGGTACACCATCTATCCATTCATGACATTTTATTTAATTTATTTATTCGTTTATTTTGGATTTATTTCATACACTAATACTCTATTTTTAACATTATTAGTCATCATATCATATCACGTCAGTGATGTCCTGTAAAGTAAATAAAAAAGCCCCTGCCAATTTCAAACTGGTGATATATCGGGATTCTGGAACAAAAACATATGACTTTGAAGCAGAGTCGACGAAGTTGGCTAGTAAGTCTTATTTTATTGTTATTTTAAAGTCTCATTTTATTTTATTTTATTGAATAGTCTTTGTCTCATCTGGGTGGAAAATGATTTTATTGCTACACCGTCTAAATTGAATAGTAAATTGAATGTTCGACTCATCTTTGACCTTAGCGTAGTTCTCTAGCCCTAATATATATCATAAATTACTATTTAATTTAGATGGTGCCAATAAATTGTTTACAGTCCAAGGATCGGACTTTTTTCTTTATTTATTGATTTAATTAAATTGTTTTTACAGGTGAGATCAGCCAAAAAGTTAATTTTCTTCAGAAGCTCAACAAAGGTGAACAATCTAAGCGATCATATTCAAAACACTAGTTATATATATATATATTTACCAAAATTTATCGACAAAAGTATCCATCCTTCTCTCATACTCACTGCAAACCTCCCCTTAAGTTTTTATATACGAAATGCCTTGTTAAATTCCGTGTTGTAAATTGATTCTTTTCGTTGTATATTGTATGTATAAGATGGGTTTTCGTTTTTTTTCCCTTTTTTTTTTTTCTTTGTTTCCCTTGATTATTGATATTTGGGACAATGTCTACTTTGTAGAATGAATGTATATAGAGATCCTTAATATCTTGTAGAATCAATCCGAAAAAAAAACCCCCAAAAAAGAGGATATTCATCCTCAATTCTCCCTTCGGAAGAAATTTATGTACAGTAACAAATGGCGGGAATTATGTATTTATTCGAACAAACCAGAATATTTTGTATAATATAGGAAAAGTAGAAGATTTATTATTTTGGGTAGATTGCGCTATAACAGTGTAGTCTAAAAAATCTCGTAATCTTTGCGATAATTTTTGAAGATGTCACTCATAGTATCAAAATGGTCATTGTACGACTTTAGTGCTTTAGTACTAAAATTATTTATATAAATATTTGTCGCATGGTGAGCTTTCAAGTGGCCGTTTGAAACAGATTTATACGTGTGTAGTTCACAGTAACTAATTCTAAAACAATAAATGTTGAATATTAAATTATCTAAGCGAGCTTGATTTAGGTTCTGCATCCAGAAATTGAACCTAAACCAGGTTTATTGAAAAATCTTAGTTTAAAATATACCATACGTACGTGTTACATTAACTTAGGCGTTACACTAAAAATGCGCGGCAGATCCACTATTTGGATTGTCCGTATGAAGATTCTTTTACATAAAATTTAACGTTAAAGAGTAGATCGTTTATTATATTATTATTTATAGACCGAAATTCTTCGATTGGCTGATGTAAATTAATTGCTCGGATAACTTATTTGTACGTACACTTTTAAATTTCATAGGAAGGCATTCGTGTGATTGGCTGATTTTTGTAGATCCATGCATAATAATTAACCAATCAAACCTCCGATTTGATTAATTTATACAATTATTATAAAACGCACCTATGGTGTTTTGCATTTATATATGGTTTTTTTTAATTTTTCTAAGTTTTTATAAGTTTTGTTATAGAACTTTTTGACTTAAATTTTTTCACGTTAGGATTTAGTATTAGGGTTTGGGAAAGGCGTAGAACATTTTTACTTAGAACACCTTGTACTGATTAATTAATCAGTTTTTAAGATAATGCATGCATAGGTGTAAAACATCATAGGCTATAGGTAAAATTCAATTTATATATAGCATAAAATTAAACCTATCGAATGGAAGATTAACATAAATATTATGTTTGAAAATCAAATTCGCGATCCGACCTAATGATTATTTTATTATTTAATATGCATATATTTTTATAATAGCGATTCAAACAATTGTACATACTATATAAATTTGTAATAATAAAATAAAATACAAATTACTAATTTTGTACAATTGTAAAATTTTGATGTAATATTTTTTTCACTTTGTATAAATTCATGATTTCAATATAATAAAACTTTATTGATTATAAAATATAAAAAAATACAAATTTTATTGCATTCTTAAGTTTATACTATTTTTTCTAATACAAATGTTTTATATTTTACTAATTTACATTTATTATTATTATTATTACAAGAAATATTATTTTTTTTCTTTTTATTTTTTAATTATTTTTAATTTTGTAAACATTCTAATAAAAATTGAACATACTCATTAATATTATTTTGTAATAATAAGAAACAATACAAGCATTTAAAATTATTATTTATGTAACAATATTTAAAATAAGTTTAACTGCAAGTTAAAATTCTAATTAAAAACTAAATTAATAGAAAAAAACAAATTAATTAGATAATCATAATAATAAAATAAGTTTATATAAAACTTTAAAGTCTAAAAGAAGATGATACAATTATATTTTTGATATTTTTATTACAGTTAGCAAAATAGTTTCAAATATTTTTTTTTGTTTTTTTAAAAATGAATTTAAAAATTATTATAAAAATATTAAAGTTTTATAATAAAACATATATATATCTTTTAAATTATAAATTAATTAAAACAAATTTGTTTTTTTAATTTTAATTTGAAATAAAATTTAATATGATAACTTTCTTATAAAAAAAACTTCAACTCTATTTTTAAACTATTATTACTAATTGCTTCAACCTATTTTTTATAAATTAATTATCTAATTTTATTTAAAATTTATATTTTTATTAAACATACTAATTTAAGAGTTTTTATCTTAATTTATACTTAAATATTTTTAAATATCTTTAAAATTAATTAAATTCTTAACTTTTAAATAATTAAATTTATAAAACATAATATACAAAAATACTTTTTTCATATTAAAATTCTTATTGATAATCTATCTATTATAAAAAATTTTAATATTCAATATCTTTATTTATATATTATATTAATATGTTTTTAATATATAAATTCTGAAGATAAACTTTATTTTATTTTTTGTACAAATAATAATATTAATATTAATCAAGTAATTTTTAATATAATTTAATTAATATTTATCTTGTTTTAAATATTTAATAATTTAGTATTATCTATTTTTAATATAATTATAAACTTTACAACTAACTTTATTAATTTTAATTACTAATTAATTTTATATATCTTATTTAATACTTTCTTTATAATAACTTACAATAATAATAATATACAAATCATTAACTTTTCTTAATAATCACTTATACCAAATTTTCTCTAAACATAATTACACTTTTCTTAATTTTTTATTAAGTAAACATACTTTGGCTAGCTAAATAAAATTGTTTCTAACAAAATTTTATATATAGGTGGCTTAGTTTTATATCCTCATAGGCATTTACTACTAGAATATAATTAAACTTTGTAATTTTTATTTTTTTGCAAAAACTTAAAAGTTTATTAAATAAATCATAGTTGTTATATAGAACAAACTTGTTCAGTTCACTTTGACTATCATTTTAATATATTATATACTATAAACAGTTTAATATTAACAATTATATAATAAAATTATTTTAAAACTTTCTTGAAAACTATAATCTACTTTTGTAAAAAAAATTTTTTACTTTTTTGAAGGAATTCTGGTTCTCTAGGATACTCCAAACTTGCAGATCTAAATTATTAATTAATATTATTAATCTATTTATATAAATCTAACTTTATTTTATCTATTTTTAAATTTTACCAATTTAGTCTTAACTAAATTATACAACTTTTGTTATATGGTAATCATGTTAATCATTTAGGTGTCACACTAGGTGTTATCTTAAACATTATACCTATTACTTGGCACATCTCTTATTTGTTACATCTATTAGTCATCACATCCCTTATTTGTCATATCTAAAGTTTGAAAATTGCTTCAAAAAATAACTACTTTAATTAACTTTCAAGAACCAAGTTTCTATGATATTAATTATTATTATTCTAAATATAAAGACAGGTATAGAGTTGGACTTCAAGAAAATAAATCTTAAACATTATGTGTTCTACCAGTCTCTGCTAAATCTAATATCTGTGATAAGAAAAAACAACATTATTATTTTAAAGTTTCTTTTCAATCTGCTATCACAATCTGGCTTTGTGACAAGTTTTATATAAGCTTTATCTTTAAACATTACAAAATTATTCATTTAACAACAATTGGTCAATCTTCAAATCTAACTCAAACTCAAATTAGAACTATTATCTCTGTACAAAATTTTAAATGATCAGATGAACTACTTGCCTCTCTAATTTCTAAATTAACAGACCAAACTTAATCTTCACTCTTCTCTTCTGTATGTATTCTTTTTCTAAGTTTTTAAACAAACCTAGTTCTTATAGTCATAATTGCTTATTCTTAACATTATCATATCTGTTTTCTTTACAAAGTCAAAAATATTCAATATGTCTTCACAGATAATCAACATAATCATGCACCAGACTACACAGTAGCATGCATCTTTAAAGGCTCTTTAATTCATCAATCTTGCATACCAAAAATTCAAAATATTGAACTAAAACCTTTCTACTTAATCTTATTCAATTCAGATCATAAAAAAATGATTATTCTTTATAAATTTAGTACTATGTTAGCAAAAGACAAAATTCAACTTTATAACTTAATTTTTTCTAAAAAACATAATTTTCAACAATTTATAAAACAAAAAAAACAAAAACAAAAACAAATTATTAGAAATACTTCAAATAACCTTAATTGGTTTAAAGAATATTCAATAACTGACAAAATGAAAAACCATATTCACTTCAAAAACATACTAGTCTCACAAATTTTTGACTTTATCAAATCATACCTTATTAATATATACTCTAGTAAAATCACTGAACAAGTAACTGAAAGCAAACTAGCATCCAAGTTTAATTATATGTATTTAGTTAAAACTTTAGCTAGACTCCATCCTAAGTTTTTAATAGATCCTATATATAAAAACAATCTATCTATAAACAAATTTTTTCTATTTCATTTGAATTAATTTATTTAACTTTTATCACATTATTTAAGGAATTTACTACCACTCTTTTTATACATCTTAACTATCTAAAAATTTTTGCTTTATACAGTTCAATCACACCTTATACTACTTCTAACAAAACACAAATTGCACTTAATCTAACCCATCTACATCTTATTCTTTATAACAAATATAAAACTATTAATGCAAAAAAATTCAATAAAGATCTTAAACTTCA